TGATGTAATCAAGTTCATCAAAGAGGACATTATTCACAGATTTGGTCTGCCAGAAACAATTACAACAAACCAAGGCACAGTTTTTGTCAGCCATCAAGTGGAGGCATTTGCAAAGGAAATGGGTTTCCGTCTGTTAAATTCTACTCCTCATTATGCACAAGCTAATGGGCAAGCGGAGGCTTCTAATAAGGTGGTGATTAATTTGCTTGAAAAAATGGTGGATGACAACCCCAGACGCTGGTATGAACTGTTGTCTGAAACACTATGGGCTTATAGAACTTCACAAAGGAGTTCAACCAAAATGACACCTTTTGCCTTAACATATGGCCATGATGCAGTCTTGCCAATGGAGTTAACAGCCAAGTCTTTAAGAATAGCAATTCAGCATAATCTCCAGTCTAGAGAATACGATGAGGCCATGATGCTTGAGCTTGAGGACCTTGAAGACACACGTTTGACAGCTTTGGATAGATTGCAAGCTCAAAAACTCAAAATTGCAAAGTCTTACAACAATAGGGTAAAAGGTTAAAATCTGGTAGTCGGTGACTTGGTCTGGAAAGCAATTTTACCTCTTGGCAAGAAAGATCACAGATTTGGGAAATGGTCCCCAAATTGGGAAGGACCATTCCGAATTCATGAAGTGTTGAGAGGGGGTGCTTATTGGTTAGAGTTACTTGATGGAGAGCTACATCCCAGAAAAATCAATGGAATTTATCTCAAGCCTTATTTCCCCACAGTCTGGGAGGCAGGAGGCTTAGAGTTCCAAGAATCTGTCTGAGCCAGGTTTATACTTTTGTTTGTGCACAAATAAATTAATTTGCTTTCATGTGTTTATTTCAAAATGAGAGCAAGTTTGATTGAGTGGCCATGACTGGCTGTGGATGGCTAAATGCGCTCAGACAGAGTCAGCTGTGAAAAAGTTGGGAATGTCTGCTGCAATCATCTTGGAATTTAGCAGATTTTGCACGTGGCCTTTGGAATCTGAAAGGTAATTTAAAATTTAAACACTTGGATTTATTTCCATAAAACCAAGTGTTGGGGGGCATTGTTTACACCTAAAATAAACCAATAGGGTAAGGCCACGTGTCAAGGTAAAGCCCAATCATCAAGAAAACCATTAGGTTGGATTTGGGCTGGGCTGGCTTACAATTTAATGGCCCAGACGGATTTCCAAGGAGGTTGGATCTTAGGTGGCAGAAGATAAGATTGGATCTGGTAGTTTGAGTTTGATTTAAAATGGGAAATTGAGGATTTTTAGGTAGTTATCTTTAAGGTTGTTGGAGATAAGGTTAAATAAAAATCAGATAACTATTAAATAACTGCCAGACCTGCAATCCCATTACCAGAACATGGAGGAACAGTGCCGAAAATGGAGGAACAGTACCGAAGATCATGGAGAAGATCATGGAAGAGGTTACCAGCATCGAAGGGAACAAAAACAGAGAGAAGAGAACAGTTCAAGGCCTGCCCAACACACACACAGACTGCCCAGAGCATGTTTTCCAGCTTTTAGACTGCTTTTTCCAGATTTTAGCAATAGTTTCCAGATTTCCTAGATTTTCCAGATTAGTTCATAGCCTTAGCCTAGGTTTGTTCATCTTTGTTCATATTTCCTTCCGCAAATTCCAATTTAGATTTATTTTTAAGTATTTGGAAGTAACTTAACCTTCAAAACAGGTCTGCCCTTTTGATTCGGTTAGTTCTTCTTCTTTTTATGGATTTAATTATGTTATTCGTTCATGTAAATAGGTTGAATGTTTTCTACCTTTGTTCTTTTGTTTCTGCACAATATCCAAACATTTAGTTTATTTAATTTCAATTTCCAGATTTGATTTTATAAGTTTTCAGACTTTAATCATTTCATAGTTTCTTCTTTAGTTTTAGTTAATTATTCTGGGCTGCGTAGTTGAAATCATTGTCTGTTATTTTACTTTTTCTGTTGTCTGCGAATTTAATCTTCATGGCATGTTATTTTCTGTTCTTTACTTCGTGTTAGTTTAATTGCTTTAGCATATTGCATTTATTTTAGGATTTGTAGCTTTTATTACACTTGTTTGGTTGTGAAGTCCTTGGAGGTTTCCAAGGCAATTAGTAACCCATTTTGCAGAACTCTACCCTCTGTTTTGCAACATCGTCTGGGGCGCAATTCATTTCACAGACGTTCTTTCCAGCCATCCCATTGGAGGTCGACCGCTGGAAAGGAGAAAGGTCGTCTGGAAAATCCTATTTTCTTGTTTTTAGACAAAGCAAGTGGCATGCCTAACATCCAACTCACGTGGTAAAGGCCGGCTGAGGATTTTTGAGGAAACAATCCTTTGTTGGCACGCCCAGTGGGACCACTAGCAGGATGTATCAATTACAGTTCACAAATCCTCTGTTCATACATTTAGAGGCGTTTGAAGCCATGCCACCAAGAAAGAGCAGAGACAAAGAGGTTCAGCCAGCCCAGGCTGAACATGCAAATGATCCCATCACTTTTCTCCCAGTGTCACCTTTGGCAAAACGGTCCTATGGCAATCCAATTTTCAAAGAAAGGGATGCAGATCGTAGAGATGACTTTGCTGAATCAAGTAATGTGTTTAGAGGTATGATTGAACGTCTGGATTTAGCATTCAAAGAACAGAACCAGGCTATGCGGAGACTTGTTGAGAGTCAAGTAGAATCCTCCAGACGTGAGGAAGAGTTAATTAGACAATGTATAGAAGAAATGAGACGGGTCTTTGAAAAAGGCACTAAGGTGATGCGAGAAACTGGGGAAGAAAGTCACAGACCACTGCAGGCTGTTTCAGAACAAGTGGTTGAGCAAGTGCGACAGCCCAGACCTGAGATCTTTCCTCCAGTCGTTGAAATGCCCAGACAAATTCGGGAAGCCCCAATCCCAACACTCGGGGGGCAAGGGAATTAGCCTCATCCCAATATTCAACAGCAGCATTTTGTCATTGGTGAAGGGCAAAGACAACACCAATTGATGGAGGCTGCTACTCTTGTTGCAGACCATGGCCATCAACCTCAACATAAGTATATTCTGCCAACTAGGAAGGGAAATGTGGGTCCTCATCATCAACCTTGTCCAAGGGATTTTTTCCAGCCACAAGTTCCACCAGCCCAACCGGTACAGCGTGGTCTGCAAAATCAACCAGCTCAATTCTTCAATAGAGACCATGGGCCAACCTTGAGGTCATTGGAAAAGATTGCTAAGGGTATCTTGAAATTTCCAGACAGAGTGAAGGAAACCATGGGAGTGGATACAGACCCTTTTCCAGCTGTGTCTGTCGGCGTGAATGTTGCAGACCTAAGGAGTGTTGCTAGAAATCGCAGTCTGCCTTATGCTCAAAGGAACCTTGCTGCAGAAGACTTAAGGTGGGTTCTTGAGGCGCAGAGATCCAGACATAGCAGGAGCGTTAGGTTAGACCAGCAGAGGCTCGGGGGGCAAGAAAGGATCACTGTGACCAGGAACTTCAGTCCAGAAGGTGCCAGACGTTATTCAACTGGTACTAGATCTCCAAGGATGGTCAAACTGCCACTCAGGTCACCTTCCAAACGGTGGGAGAAAATTAGTCATCCCAAGTTTCCAGCCCAGAATCCCAGAACCTTGAGGCGCAGACTACAGCGCAAGAGGGCTGAAGAGCGAAAAAGGCAACAGAAGCAGATGGAGGCTAAGGGAAGTTCATCTCGCAGACCACGCCAACCTACCAAAAGGAACATGGTGTGGGTGAGAAAAGAGAAAAAGGAGGCTGTAACCCAGACTCTACTGAAGGAGGATGACCAATCTCCAGCCTCTCCAAAGGTGGCGTCTGTTATTGTGAGTCCAGATGGGGTTTTGAAAGCAACTTTTGAAGCACAAGAACAGTCTGGGAATCGTGGAGCTGAATCAAAAGAAGATGGCACTATTCATTTTGGGGAATTCTTAGTGAATTTGTCATGTCTGGTGCTGACATTACCCTTGGTTTTCCAAGCCAAGAAGGAGGAGGAACCAATCGTCTGTGAGTTCCCAGAACAGACAGAAGAAGAGGTAATTGTTGTTCCAGCTCAGGATGATGAAAAGGAGGACATGGCTGACAAAATTGTGTTTGAAAAACCAGAAGAAAAGATGACCAGACACATTAGGCCACTTTATATCAATGCTCACATGGATGGGACTCCAATCAGCCGTGTCTTGGTGGATAATGGAGCTGCAGTCAATGTCCTTCCAACTTGCATGCTCTACAAAATAGGCAAGTCCCTTGATGATTTAGTGCATACTGAGGTTACAATTAGTGATTTTACAGGAGGGGTGAATTGTTCAAGGGGTGTGCTGCCTGTTGAATTAACAGTGGGAAATAGGACACTGATGTCTGCGTTTTTTGTGGTGGATACTGTTGCTACTTACAATGCACTTTTGAGGCATGACTGGATTCATTCAAGTTGGTGTGTCCCTTCTTCACTTCACCAGAAACTGATTTTCTGGAATGGTGGCAAGGCTGAGGTCGTGTCTGCAGATGATAAACCTTTTTCAGCCAATACCCACCTGGTGGAGGCTAGATATTATGAAGAAGACATTGGTACCATTCGGTTTTTTGGGATGGATAGACATGGGAAACTGATTGGGATAACAGCATGCAGCAGACTGTCTTTGTCTAAGCGTGTTGTGGAGGAAGTCTGTGATGAACTTCTTCGGCCAACAACAATAATTCCTTATAGGCCGAAGGGGAAACTAAAAATTGAAGAAATTTAATGAAGCAAGCTTGTCTGAAACAGGAGAGAGAAAAGGCCGTGTTGGAGATAACAAAGAAATTAGTGGCCTATTTTGCTAAAAAAGTAGTGCAAGTAGACAGGTCTGAAATTGTTCATGAAGGTGAGGAGGCAAATCGAGGTGATGAAATAACTTTGGAGGAGCTGGATCTAGCCCCAGCCAAATTAGATGATTTAAAAGCTGAAGTTTAAGACCCACTTGAGGAGATCAATCTAGGGTCTGAAAGTGAACCAAATGTAACATTTATCAGCGGCTCCCTTGAGCCGCAGACACGAGATCAAGTTGTTAGACTTCTGCATGAATTTAAGGATTGTTTTGCTTGGGATTACTTAGAAATGCTAGGTCTGAATCGGAGACTGGTGGAACATAAACTGCCAATTGCAGAAGGATTCAGACCGTATAAACAGCTGCCCAGATGCATGTCTGCAGAGGTCACTTTGAAGGTGAAAGAAGAAATTGAGCGGCTGGTAAAAGCTGGGTTCATTCGGACATGCAGGTATGCAGACTGGTTGTCAAATGTAGTGCCTGTGCTGAAGAAGAATGGAAAATTAAGAGTCTGTGTTGATTTTCGAAACTTGAATTTAGCTACACCAAAGGATGAGTATCCTATGCCAATTACAGACTTGTTGGTTGATGGAGTAGCCCGTCACAAAATTCTATCTTTCATGGATGGTCATAGTGGGTACAACCAAATTTTTATTGCAGACGCAGACGTTCCTAAGACAGCCTTTCGATGCCCAGGTGCTGTTGGAACTTTTAAATGGGTTGTGATGCCATTTGGTCTGAAGAATGCTGGAGCTACCTATCAAAGAGCCATGAATGCAATTTTTCATGATATGATTGGTAAATTCATGGAAATTTATATTGATGATGTTGTGGTGAAATCACATGGGGAAGCAGACCACCTGGTCCATTTGAGGAAGGCTTTTGAGCGGATGAGGCAACATGGCTTGAAAATGAACCCACTAAAGTGTGCCTTTGGAGTGTCTGCGGGTAACTTCCTTGGGTACTTGGTGCATGAGCGTGGTCTGGAGATTGACAAGAACAAAGCCAGGGCTGTGATTGAGGCAAAACCACCACAGAACAAAAAGGAGTTGCAAAGATTTTTTGGCCAAGTTAATTTCTTAAGACGTTTCATTTCTAACTTGGCTGGGAAAACCAGAGTCTTTTCTCCTCTGTTGAAACTCAAGTCTGAGGCGGATTTTAAGTGGGAAGAACACCACCAGTTTGCCTTTGATATGATAAAGTGGTACTTATCCAGACCACCAGTACTTGTACCGCCTGTGAAAAATAAGCCTTTAATTTTGTATATATCCGCCGCAGACGAGTCCATAGGATGTCTGCTGGCACAGGAAAATGATAAAAAACAGGAGCAGGCTGTGTATTACTTGAGTCGATGTTTGACCCAGACCGAAGTGAAATATTCTTCGGTCGAAAAGTTGTGTCTTGCTCTCTTTTTTGCTGCAATAAAATTAAGACATTATTTGATTTATTCTGAGGTGTATGTGATTGCCAAGACTGATATTGTCAAATATATGTTGTGCCGCCCTTTGTTAAGAGGCCGAATAGGTAAATGGATTCTGGCCTTGTTTGAATTTAATTTGAAGTATATACCACAGAAGGCTGTCAAAGGGCAGGCATTGGTAGACTTTCTTGTAGATCATCCATGTCTAGACGCGGAGGCAGATGAAGAAAAAGGGATTAACTTGTTTTCAATAAGTTTAGTTCCCTGGAAACTTATTTTTGATGGATCCAGTACAAAAACCATGTCTGGCGCTGGAGTCGTGGTAATTTCCCCGTCTGGGCTGAAAACACAGATGTCTTTCCAGCTGGATTTTAATTGCACAAATCATCAAGCAGAATATGAAGCTTTGATTATTGGTCTTGAGATGTTGGTGGAGCTTAAAGTATCCATGGTTGAGGTTATAGGGGACTCACAGCTAGTTTTGAGGCAATTGTTTGGTGAGTGCAAATGTACTAGCCTTGCTTTAGCCCTTTATTTTGCCTTGGCTGTGCAATTGCTGGAAGAATTTGATGACGTGTCCATCAGACATGTGCCCATAGACCAGAACTATGAAGCTAATGAAATGGCCCAGATTGCTTCAGGTTTGCAAATTCCTGAAGGTGTAATGCAGAAAGTTGTAATAGTTGAAAAACGCAGTCTGCCATTAATTCATCAACGTGGCATGACTGTCTCCACTTGCAGCATTGATATTACCCAGACGGACTGGCGCTTTCCAATTATTCAGTACCTTAAGGATCAAAGCATTAAGGTATCTAGGAAAACCAAAATGCAAGCTCTCAATTATGTCTTGATTGAGGATGTACTTTATAGGAGAGGCAATGATGAACTATTGCTGCGTTGTCTGGGTCCAGATGAAAGTTTCCAGATGCTGTCTGATGTCCATGATGGGATTTGTGGTGCACACCAGACTGGAATCAAGATGCGTTGGTTGATTCGCAGACATGGTTTCTTCTGGCCGTCTGTCTTGAAAGACTGTATTGCTTATGCCAAGGGCTGCAAATCTTGTCAGGTCCATGGGCCACTTCAAAGAGTTCCAGCCTCTGAACTTAATTCTATTGTGAAACCATGGCCATTTCGAGGCTGGGCTATTGACTTAATTGGTAAGGTGTAT